TGCAGCTGTTTTCTCTAAGTCATTGAATATTTTACAGAGTCGTACCTCAGACTCCATGAATAAATGTTAAAAGTTCAGGTCATTTTACATGGGTTTGTGTGAGGTAGTCACGCATGGTTAGTGTATTACCTGCAGTAGATTCAGATCAGCTCCCAGTGTAGAGAAGCAGCAGAGGCACCAGTATATAAGCTGAGTGATGAGCTGCTATGGACGGTGTCAGCAGAAAAAAACTGTTTTAGTTACTTAAAAAATGTGCACAGAAAAAAGCTAATATCAGTTCAAGTATCGCTTTATTATGAATATTTACTTTGGAACTACATTTTTCAACCATTTAAATACAATATTTCTATGCACAAGCACATTTACACTTAGCTCTGTTTGACCCAAACAGCTGATCTGTGGAGTAATACAGTGCACGCCGTAGTTGCGTTTGTGCATAGGAATACGGTAGTTGAGCGGTTCACAAACTGTAGTTCAAAGGTAAAGGGCTGTTTAACGGCAGATAAAGTGGTGAAAATATTCAAAATAAAGTGAACACTTAAACTAATATTAGCTTTTTTCTGTGCACATTTTTAAGTAGCTTAAACAGTTTTTTTCTGCTGACCCTGTCCATAGCAGCTCGTCACTCAGCTTCTGCACTGGTGCCTCTGCTGCTTCTCTAAACTGGAAAAGCTGATCTGCATCTACTGCAGGTAACACACTGACTATGGATAAGTGACTCGCACAACCCCATGTCACATAACCTTTAAGAACAACCCCGTGTGTGTATACTTGTTGACTGTTACCGTACCATAGTTCAACTACAGTTTTGAACATTATTCTAAAGCAGAAATATTCACAAACCAAAGCATAGACATGCTCCTGGACTTTACCTTTAAAGTCTTTGAAGTTGTGTTTGTTGGCGCAGGTGAAGCCCCTCATGGACCCGTCGCTGAACTCCTTGAAGAGCCCCACATCCTCAGCACCAGAGAGCAGCCTCTGCTGGGAGGCCCCCACCAGGAACATGTTGGGGTTGTCTTTCTCCTGTGCCGCGATTCCAGGTCCCAGCTGCTCCACGAGCAGCTCAGCACCTGGGGAAAATAACACTCGTTGAAATTACCCCATAACGTCAGAAACAAATATTAGAAGAGAGAAGGAGAACTCTGAGTGCAGTACCTCCATGCCGCTGTTGGTCTCTTATCCTGCTCAGCAGCCATCCAATGGCTTCCTCCTTAGTGTCTGAAGCCAGCTCCACCACCACCAGAGGAGTGAACCTGGAGCCGCTGCTGTCGACTGACTCCATCATCGCCTCTCCCAGGACACCTGCACACGAAGTCATTGAGAAGTGACCAAAGAAAACATCCTGTGGTGCTTCTCAGAGAGAAAGTGAGGAAAATAAAAAAATAGAATCTTAAATAGAAATGATGTAATAAACATGTAAATGTAAATATAATAAAAAATACATACAAAAATATAAAAAATTGAAAATATACACTTCCTGAGCACTTTATTAGGAACACCTGTACACATGCTTATTCATATAATTATCCATCAGCCAATCATGTGGCAGCAGTGCAATGTATAAGGTCCAGGCTGGTGATGGTGGTGCGGTGGTGTAGTGGTGTGGGGAATGTTTTCTTGACTCACTTTAGGCCTTAATACCAATCAATTATGGTCTGAATGCCACAGTCGATGTGAGTATTGTTGCTGACCATATTCATCCCTTCATGGCCTCAGTTTACCTTCTTCTAATGGCTACTTCCAGCAGGATAATGCTCCATGTCACAAAGCTAAATCACTAAAGTACTGAAGTACGGTGGCCAACAAGGGCAAACGCGCTTTAACAGCGCTGTTTGTTTTGGGGGTTTTTGTGTTTTTGTTGTTGCAGTGTTTTTGTATTTGCAGCATGCTTCCTATTAATGTCTTTGTTTTGGCTTCCATCAGCACGTTTTTTCACTTGCAGCACGTTGCCGTTGTTGTATTTGTTTTGTATTTTTGGTATGTGTTTTTGAACTTGCATCGTTTTTGAATTTGTGATGTGTTTTGGGCCGTTGCAGCACGTTTGCCCTTGTTGGCCACCATACTAAAGAGCTCAACACACTGCACGTTAAAAAAACACTTGCAAAGAAAAATAAATTCAGAAAAAATCTCATCTTCATCAATTTGATAACAGATGTGCTGTAAATGCACACAACACAACCAAATACAGAAATGCGCTGCAAGTAGCACAACAGATGTGTTTCCAGGGGACGCAAAAAAGCGGTGAACCCAGCTGGGATGCAGAGGAGTCTCAGAGGAAAGTTTCAACATCTATTATGAAGAACCGAGGAAATACCCAGTGTTAGTGTGCTGTTCCTAATAAAGTGCTTGCTGAGTTTACCGTATAGGCCTCAAACTAAATCCATATCCAGATATTTTGGTACTTGGAGACTATCCTGTTCTGACTAAATCAAAATGTCTTTACTGAATAAAAATGTATCTGTAAAGTATCAGTCATTTGTCATGAGTGACAAGTTAAAGTAAATATTCACTGTCAGGTTTTCACAAGGTGTGTCAGACATTGCTCAACCCAGTGCAGTGAACTCCCAGCAACAGTGACCTTATTATCAGCAGTGGATTCATTACTATGATCTACACAGGGTGAATTATTTATATCCATAAACTAAGTAGCCTTGAACTATGAGGACAGTGGTGACCAGATGACACGTGGACTGACAGAAACAGCTGACTGACTCTGACACACACACACTCTCTCTCTCTCTCTCTCACACACACACACACACACACAGAGAGAGAGAGAGAGGGGCAGGGAGGGCCTCGTGCAGGAGCGACGCGTGTTATTAAAATGCAGTAGTGGAAAATGAGTCCTGGAAAGCACAGGAATAATTTTCTGTAACGAATCCACACGGCTGATTCCGTACGTCACGGTCCGTGTATCCGGCGGCTCGGATCGGTACTCACCCATATCTGAGTCTGTGCGGGACACGGCTCTGTTCCAGCCTCGGGGCGGGAGTTGGCTCTGCTGATCTGAGAACAAACAGATTAAACGACATGTCTGTAGTTCAGTGTCTGGAGGCTCCTCCACCCAGCTGGACTTCGTTATGTTCCACGTCACGAAGCAGCGCAGCCAACTTGAGCTGTCACACCCACCAACAACCCCTCACTGTTACAGCTGAGACCCGCCGATATAAACCAATCACTGCTGCCTCGTGCTTGCTATGATTTTAACCACGAGCCTGAGATTTAATGAAATTACATTTATTTTCTCCTTTTGCTCAGCAACACAGAGAAACACAGGTAGTCATGGGGCACCACGCCTTTTACTAACACAACTAATATCTGTTTTTAAAGTAGCAGCTTATCTTTTTTTTTTTTTTTAATTCTTACCAATATTCAAGTGCACCTAATTTTTGTTATTTTTGCTGTATTCTGTTTTATTTTGTTGGATAAAATATACTTATTGGATTCCTCATAAGGAAGACAGGCTTAACAGGAATGATGCTCAATGAATTCCACCCCAACTTGCCCACCTACAAATGATTTTTACAAATCTTCACCTTCACACGATAATATAGGCTACTTACAACTACTAACTAAAGAAGAGGAATAACTTTTGTTTTTGCTACTTTTACTTTTTATGCATGTGTGTAAGTGTGTCTGGCAGTTTTATGTGAAGAAATTCTCATACTAATTCAGTAAAATTGTGTTTGGCTTCCAATTTGGCAAATTAATTTTGAACATGCTACATTTAAAAGGTAAACCAGGTTAGTATTTTACATTTTAATTTCTCTGGTCAGACCAATATTATTTACATTTTACATATCATTGTAACATAACATACATCTTGGCTTGAAAATGACAGCATTTCATTTAGGTGAGTCAATTCCAGTCCCCTGGTAGTGTACATTCTGGCTCACTGTCTTGGCTCATAGGGGCATTTGATCTGGATGTGCTGTGTTGAAAAAGGAAAATCTAAGCACTGAGTAAACAACCTGACCAGGGTCAAAATAACTGCAAATACAGTAGGTTACCAGCAAATGCATCCGAATGATATTTACAAAACATCTGCATGTAAGGAGGATATAAAGCTTCCTCCATCTGCTCTGTGGTCAGCACTTTTAAACACTAATGTATCTCAAATATTAAACCAAAGTTAATTTTCATGACTGCATAAAATATCATTTGTCATTGTCATGCACTTTAGTGTCTTCCTCCTATTGTTATCTGTATACTGCAGTTGATTTTCATTTCATTTTAATCATTATGTTGTGTTTATTATGTTTTCTTTTAATTAATCAACATTTTAATCTTGAATTTAAAAGCTTTAATATCTATGTTAAGATAATTGTATAATTCCATGCTTCATCCATATGGTTTAATATTGCAATGATTATCTATATGTAATAAAAACTACATACTTCCTCCCCATTTAAAATCGATTATTACATTACTTTAATAAATCATATTAAATGAAGAACTGAATTACACTTTTATTTCTTTCTGTATTTATTTACGACTTTAACATATACGTTGAATGAGTATTGGTATTAGAAAGACCTGTCTTAAAGAACACATGTATCAAGCCAAACACTTTCAACTATGTTGCTAACATTTTAAATGACTTGCAGGATGAGTCAACGCAAAACTACGGTTTTATACAAACGTATCATTTACGGTATAACAAGGCTGTCAGTGCAAACAATACAACCCCCTGTTACCTTAACATGTGCACATTATTCACGGTTTAAAACTACATGTGTCGTTTTCCTACTTACCAGAGCTCTCTCCTTTGCTAAGTAGCTTGTTTAGGTATTTGACAGAGAAGCTACTTCCGCCTCACGCTCTGACGCTGGGTGCGCTTGTTTTGTCTTATAGATGAAAAAAAGAAGCGGTGCCATGGGCGGGGACACGAAGCGTCTCGGATGCGTCGCCGCACGGTGGAGTCACCCCGAACAACAAATCAAACCTCTTCAATCGCTGACTGTACGTCAAGAGTCTCTGACGACACGTGACCGCGGGAAGCAGCAGAGGAGAGTTGCAGCAGTATGGCCGAGCAGTCGGAGACAGTGAACAGAGGGTAAGTAATTTCTCTTACACAGCTCACGGAAAGTGTTTAACCAACCAATGCAGGCGATGGTAAGTGAGGCACATCATTTGGTATCCCAACGACACAGTGTTATTCTGTGTGTAGATGCTTTTGCACACACTAACAAAAGTTAAACAAGTTGTCAACAGTCAGGCACTACGCTAAAGTTAAAGTAAACACTTTAACATTGTGAAGCTCTGACATGAAAGTGACGTAGAAACATACTGTCACATATGAAAGAGTGAACTCGCAGGTTTTCAGACTTTATCTGCCACAGATTATGGTTTAGACATACTGAATATCTGTTAACTTGTGAATGTGTTGCTGTCATACACATCTGTCTCATACTGACAACTGTATATCTACTCTGTCATCGGTCAGTCAGTGTTCTTTGCCCTCATCCACTTTTTGTTTCACTCTGTTCAGGGTTGTCCAGAGAATGCTGTCTGTTGTTGGTGTTGACGGTCTGGCCAGCAGTGTGTGGGGCTATTTGGACACGACAATAAAGTAAGTTTTGAAGTTTGGTCTAGACCATTGGTCCCCATCCTTTTCCAGCTCTTGCCCCCCTGGAAAATCTTTAAATGTCCCATGTCCCACATCCAACCTCATGACAATACGGAGGAAAAATAATATATGTTCTCAGAGAACTTTTTATTTTAATGACAACGGTCACTCTCTTGACTCTCTTTCCTTTAATTCCTCCTGTTGCTAACCACCTATCCATAACCACTTATCCACTGATTCTCCAGTTTTTGCCATGGATGTAAAATTAAGACGCAATAAGACTGAGATAGCAAACAAGTATATGATGTGGGACTTAATACGAGAAATAAAATTAAAGGATTTTTTTCAACATTTTTAAAGATCATTTTGTTTAAAAATTGTGAAAATATTATTATAATGACTGTTTTTGTATAATTACACTTTTCACCAAAATAGTTCTGTTTTGCAATCAGTTTACATTGATTTGTGGCCCAGTTGCAATACCAACAGTCCAATACCACAGGTTGGGAACCAGTGGGCTAGACCACTCAGAGCCCTGGTGTAGCCCCTTTAATCACAAGACTGTTCATGTTTTAGATGAACACTAAGGCCCCTGTTCACTGAGAAATTAGTTTTTCTTATAGTTGCTTCATTTGGACAAGCTTCACTGTGCAGAATGATGTAGATACAGAGTTTGACACTAGAACACAAAGGGTTAAAGTTTCTCTCTGCTCAGCTTGAATCTTAGCTTTAACATGTGTACGCAGGGAGATGACTTTCTTACGTCACAACTAATTTGGAGCCAATAATGTTCAAGTACTCGACTTACACAAGTGTGATGAGGAAACTTGAAACCTCCACTGTGTACAAATGGGCTGTTCAGTGTGTCCAATAGTTATAAAACCATGTCAATTATGGTTCTCTGCTTTACAGCAGTCTATGACTCATCTGAGCCTGAGTGAGCTTTTTCTGCAGCAAACATATTGTTTTAATTAGCTACCTGGTTTATCAAGCAGTTGGTCTGGAGCAGTCACTGGTCCACTTTCCAGCAACTGGCAAATAGCCTCCCTTAGTAATTCCTTAGGTAATCCTGCTGTGGCTGTAATTAATGCTATGGCACTGTAACAAATCCTACCTTCAAGGATATTATTGCATTACACTGAGAGGTGTTTCTAATATTTTGTCCAGTCCATTGCGGGTAGACAAACTGTGCTGGTTGTGTTTTTGTGTTATAACTACAGAAACAAACTGCACGCACAAACAATGATTATCTTTTAAGCGGCACCTACAGTCATCAAACAAGACAGTACACTAATGCAATAATACAGAAAATATGTGTTTATTATAATAAAGGGTCATTTGGCTTTAACACCTGCTGCTCATTTGCTGACATGTTTCACTTTTGTTCCATGAGTGATGGAGCAGGTGAATTCACATAGGTGAGATGATTGAAATGAAGATTAGATGATGCAGACACAGTCATGGTCCTGATACTGGTGATGTTAAAAGGCACTGACATGAGGATGAGGAGGAGGCAGCAGCATGTGTGTATGAGAAGGAGAGTTTCATTCAGAGAGGGAAATACATGGGCTGAATGTGACAGAAGTGTGTGGAGTTATTTACGAGGGCCTGGTGACTTTCCTGTTCTGCTATTTCTTCATCTGTTTCCGCTGCAGAAACTTTATTTTGAAGGCTTCATACACCGTCACACTGGAGTTTCAAAATTCTTCAGCCTGATGAGCTAACACAGTAAAACAACTTAAAGCTCCATATTTTCCTCTTCTTTTGTGTTTTATTTGAAGTGTTGATCCATAAGAAGATATATTTGTAGTTTTAAGAACCAAAAACCATATCAATGTAGTTTTACATCTCCTCTCTCAGGCTTCTCTCTGGAGCTTTAGTAACAACTGGTTGGTGAGCCAATCGGAAGAGAGGAGGCTCTGAGCCTCTTTTCTGATTTTATAAGTGATCCAATAAAAAAACAGCAGATTTCAGGTAAACACTCAGAGAAACCAAATCCTGCAAGGTTGGATGATGGGTCCAGGTGGGCGGGGCTTGGGCCGTGGCTGAGCGTGTTGACTGCTTTGTTGTGACATCACAAGTTTCAGAAGTTCTGACGGCTGGTTTTAAGGCTCAGTGTCTGAATATAGTACAGTATATTAAATATAGAATCTAGGCCTACTTTATTATCAAACAACACATGGACATCTACCTTTCATACTATATGAGCCTTGTTTGTAGGTTGTATATTCCTTTCATAACAGAAATGTAGCACAAAGTGCTTTACAGAGAAAGAAATGAAAAGGACATAAAATGAACATAAAAACATGATGTGAACATTGATGTGAAATGAAAAACATTAAAAAACATTGCAAACATGGAAAATGAGATGGAACAATAATAAAATAATAACATAGAAATAATGATAAAATGATGATAAATGAGAAATGTGTTTTATTTACTTCATGAGATAGAGATCAATAAAATAAAAAAGATGACATTCACCATCAGTCAGTCATCGACAGAGGCTGTCTATGAAACCAGTCCCCTCTCCTTTGTACAGAGGCTAATAAGTGCTAACATTCAGTCCTGATGCTGCCATGTTGGTTTAAGTTACTTTTTAATAGGGCTGAACAATTATTCAAAATATTATCAAAATCAAAATATGGCAATAGTGCAATATACAAACAGCAGGAGCTGCAATTTTTATGATAAAGATAAAAATGTAGAAATGAAGCATTGTGATGCTGCAGAGATGCCTCAGCCTTCAAATCATATTTCTCCACATGTGAAGGAACATGTTCATTTGGTAAAAGGCCCCAACAACAATCACATCATGATCATTTTAATATTCTTTTCACTGAAAATGAAATTCAAAAATGACTGTTCCAACTGAAATCGTGACTCATATCACAATATCTATATATTTTTTTTAGCCTATTATTCAGCTATACTTTTAGTTTGTGCCCTCTGTTCTGCTGCTTCATTCCTCTGTTTCTGTCTTCATCCTTTAAGCCTGGTGCCACACCTCAGTGACACCAGGTCACATCTGTATTTCATAAGGGTGATGCTCATGAACCTTTTGTCTGTGTAGGTGGTGCTGGATCCCCCGCTGGTTACCATCATGGTGTCCCACCTCTCAGAGCCAGCTTCAGTCTGCAGAGGACATGATGCTGAGATGTGAGGATCAGTTCTGTCTACGTCTGTATGAAAAGTTGTCCGGTGTTTCAGTTTCACTCTCTCACTCCTCTTTTCACTGTCTCCATAGGTGTAGACAGTCCTTTCTCCAAACAGCACGTTCCTGTCTCCAGCGGCAACCAGCTGTGGACCCTGATCGTCAGCAGAGAGAGCGTTAAACACAGAACCCCCATGGTTCTGCTCCATGGGTTCGGAGGTGGCGTGGGCCTTTGGGCTCAGAACCTGGACGCTCTCAGTCAGCACCGGCCCGTCTTCGCTCTGGACCTGCTGGGCTTCGGTCAGAGCAGCAGACCCCTGTTCTCCTCAGATGCCCAGGAGGCAGAGGACCAGTTTGTGGAGTCTATAGAGAAATGGAGGGCTAAAGTGGGTCTGGAGTCCATGATCCTGCTGGGACACAACCTGGGAGGATACCTGGCTGTGTCATACTCTATTAAACACCCAGGCAGGTGAGTGCAGATCACGGGATGTCAAGTAACATACTGGAGGGTTGTGTTGTTTTTTTAAAAGGAATCTTTTATCCTTTAGTGCAGATCTCATTGATATGAGTTTGGTGTGATAAAGTTACACAAGGGGCAAAGTAGATGTAGTTCAGTCTGACGGACTTTAAGAGGTAGACACAGGTTTTTGTAATATATATGTATATATATATATATATATATATATATATACTGTATGTGTGTGTGTGTGTATATATATATGAAGTTATTTTTTGGGTGGTTTTTATGCCTTTCTTTGATAGAGAAAGTGGAGAGAGACAGGAAATATGGGGGAGAGAGAGAGAGAGAGAGAGAGTAGGGGAGAGACATGCAGCAAAGGGTCTGGCCGGCCGGGAGTCAAACTGGCTACCTGCCTCTGAGGGCTCAGTATTTTTGCAACTTTATTAATTTATATTTATAAAAGTCAAAAACTGAAATCTCTAAAAGCTCTAAGAAGGCAGATAATTATTCTTAAGTAGAAGAAAATGGGCTAGTCAGCATCTTCCTCCTGCAGCCAGCCTTCTCCAAGGGACAGAGAGCCACCAACCTTACAAAGGCCAGTGTGGAGGGTATAATGCACAACACTATGTATGAGGAGCTGCTATAATTCTGTATGATTCTGTATAAACATTTGACCAGATGTCATATCAACTGTCAACAAAGTTTTTGTTTCACTTTTACTCTTCACCTGTATGTTTCTGTGCTTCACTTTCTCAGGGTGAAAGAAGGCAATAGATAGATAGATAGATAGATAGATAGATAGATAGATAGATAGATAGATAATTTACCCGTCCCCTTGGGGAAATCCAAGTGTCCAGCAGCTCAATAGTAGTAATAATAATAGTTAATAATAAACAATAATAGTTGAATTAGTCAAGTTCATGATCCACTGTCTTTGGCTGAGGTGTTGTATAGCTTGATGGCAGTGGGAACAAAGGATCTCCTGAACCTCTCTGTTCTGCAGCGCGGTGCGATGAGACGTTTGCTGCTGTAGCTGGTTCTCTGTCTTGACAGAATGTTATGGAGAGGAGGGTTGGTATTGTCCAAGATGGCCTCCATCTTATATTGCATGTGTCTCTCCACAAGAGTCCTGAGTGAGTCCAGACTCCTGCCAAGCACAGACCCGGCCTTTTTAACCAGCTTGTCCAGTCTCTTTGTTTTTTTTATGTCTGACATGCTGCTGCAGCAGACTGCAGCATAAAAGAGTACATGGCCACCACTGACTGATAAAACATGTGGAGCATTTCACTGCAGACGTCAAAGGATCTGAGCCTCCTGAGGAAAAAGAGCCGACTTGGTAGATGTGTTCAGGGACCAGTCCAGTTTACTGTTCAGGTGCACACCTAGGTATTTATAAGTGTGCACCACCTCATTGTCCTTCCCTGGAATGTTGACTGGCTGAAGGGCGGGCCTAGTCCTCCGAAATCCATGACCTGCTCCTTGGTCTTGGAGGTGTTCAGAAGGAGGCAGTTCTTGTCGCTCCATTCACACTGAAGGCCGTCGTCAGATCCCTGTACTCCTCTTCCTGCTGTTGCTGATACACACCACAATAGCTGTGTCATCTGAGTATTTCTGGATGTGGCAGGAATCAGAGTTGTATTTAAAGTCTGCTGTATACAGGGTGATTATGATTACAATAGCTTTGAAAAGGGACTTGCTGTTACCATGGTAACAATATGTTCTATTGAACTGAACTCTGATGTCATAACAGAATGTGATGTCATTACAGAATTCCTTTGAAGTTTTAGTGTAAATAGATATACCTCTCCCTCTAGCGTATATATTGACCTTTCATTGACTACTACACACGTATTGTTCACAGAAGCAGCTTGCATAATCAGAAATTATCGCGAAGAGAAAAAGAAAGATGGCAACAGGAACCGTCAAATGTCTGGACGCCCGTGTTCAGGATTATGTTGCAAACTACTATACAAAAGTCACGCAAGAATTACAGTCTGCACAGGCCATGCTCTTTAAGATGCATTCTGGACCTCAAAGGGCCAAGCTGAAAACCAGAGCTGAAACCCTGTATGCAGTCCTGGCTCTGCTAGAGGGCAGACAAACACAGGAAACTCTCAGCGAGAGAGAGCTGAGGGATGAAATATCTTCTCTCAAATGTAGCATGCGCTGTGCTGAAAACAAACAGGAGAGGGCCAATAACAACCTTAAAACCAAAGATAAAATCATCAGGCAGCTTAAAACCCAAGTTAATGGTTTAGTGATGCAGGTCACAAGTGATAAAGCTATAGAGGACACAAACCAGAATCTCCTTCATCTACTGAAGGACATCGAGGAAACCTCTGCCTCCAAACTGAGTGTTGAATATGCAATTAATATGGATCTCAGGTGCAAACTGCAGAATGCCAAGAAACAGCTGCAAGAGCAGACTAGTGAAGACATCTACGCAGACTGCATGGATATCTTTGCTGACGGACAGGACATACAGGTCCAGATAAGTGAGAAGGACAACAAACCCGTAGAGTGTAACACAGATAGCGGACCAACCTGCCTGCAGAGCCTGGATACAGACAAACCTGTTTCAGAGCTTCAGCCAGAGGAGGTAACCAAACATGAGGAGTACAAAGAGGTTCTTCAGTTCAGTTTGGAGAATCTGAAATCAGACCACCATGTTGAGGATGAAGAGCTTACTGAGAAAAAAGAGGAGGAGGAAGTGGTTTGCCTTAAGATAAGTGAGTTACAGAAAATCACAGACACTGCAGTTAGTCAGATTCGGGAGGAGAAAGAGGATATGCTGAAGAGCCAGAGGGCGGAAATTGTCAAGCTCCAGGCTGTTGTGAAGGCGGCAGAGGAGCAGCTGCAGGCCCAACTTCAAGAGTCAACAAAAGTCCTGCAAGCCAAGGAGCAAGAGTGGGCAGGGAGGTTTGAGGAGCTACATAGGACGTGTGAAGAAAAACGCACCGAGAGTAGGCCCAGGAGGAGGAACTGGTTTGTCAGGATGTTTGTTTGTGGCTCTGGACAAGATGTAGAGCAGTAGGAGATTCATATATTCAGATGTTTGGTTTTTTAATATATATATATATATATATATGTGTGTGTGTATGTACATAGTTGGTGCCTGAGGCCTAAGTCCTAAACCCTCACAGACTTAACTGACGTCACCTGGTAAGTGATTGAGTGTGAGAGACTGCCAGGGCTCGAAGTGGTATAAAGAGGAAGGGGACAGCACTTTGTGACATATCACATTCCTCTTTATACCATTTCGAGTCCTTGCAGTCTCTCACACTCAATCACTTATAATAATAATAATAATTATAATGATAATCAGCAGGGCTCTCTCTCTCTCTCTCTCTCTCTTTCTGTTTCTCTTTCTCCCAGCTCTATATGAAATGTGCCCTGAGATAACTTGAGTTATGATTCAGCTCTAAATAAATAAAACTCAATTGAGTTGAATTTGCATCATTGTACTGATAAATTAGCACCAGAGCTCTGAGGTACTGCAACACACAGTAACACAGTTGAGCTAGTTTCATAAATGACTGGCAGTTAGATTTAAGTTTTAAAGGAGAATATTCCCAATGAAAATGCTTTATAATCTTATTGGAGCCTGTCAATACACATTCATAGAATAAGTCAGGGTTATTACAATCTCTGTGAGCTCACAGTAGCCACTTTATTAGGTACACCTGTAGGATCTATTGCAGCTTTATTGACACAATGCAATGTGTAAATTCAATTATATGTTCATTCTATTTCTAGTTTTGTGTCCTCCACATTTACATACATGATCGGGCAGAATACCAGAACACCGTCACTGACTTTGACCTCAGTCCTGAAACATATATTTTAATTAGCACCTCTATAGCTAAAAAGAACCGTTGTATTGCATTTGACTGTACAGGTATACATAAAGGTTTGTGTACAGTGAAGGCTTTAGGAGACAGCGTGTGTGGGGGCAAAAAGATAAATGACGAAGAACTTAAAATAAAAATAAGTTGCGATCTTCTCCTTTGAACATCTAACTGAGTGTACTGAAAGTGGCTATAATCAATATTTTTAAAAGAATATGAAAGGGTCACTAGTAGTGATGAACTTACAGAGAATTATCACCTGAATCTGCGGCTGCACCTTCGGCACCTCTTCTTTCCAGTTCTGGATGACTCCCGCTGCTCTGTTAACAGTGAGGATTTAAAAATCCACTGTCCAGTACCTGCAACAGCAGACAGACGTAGTGAGAGAGCAGCCGGTGAACATAGTGGGGCATTTAGCAGCTAAAGAGCCAGATATTTCTCTCAGGAGTTGGTGAAGAGCCAAAAGGCAAGGGAATACTGGACAGGAACATGACTCCAAATGCTAATGCCGCTTTGTAACTGCTGGTTGTGTAAATAATTGACTTTCTACTATCAAGTTCATCATACTTCTCAAGTTGATGGATTTAAGTATCTTTCTATCTATACTGCAGATTTAATCTGCTAAAGAAGACCATATAATATGGTCGAAAGCTCTATCTTAATACTGTGAAAGTATCAAAGCCTCAGTCCACAGAGAAATGCACACAGCCTGTATTCAGAAACTGAGCCTTAAAACCAGCCGTCAGGACTTCTGGAACTTTGTGATGTCACAACAAAGCAGTCATTGCCCTCAGTCATGCCCCAAGCCCCGCCCACCTGGACCCACCATCCAACCTTGAAGGATTTGGTTTCTCTGAGTGTTTACCTGAAATCTGCTATATTTTTATTGGATCACTCAGAAAACAGTCAGCCAATCAGAAGAGAGGCTCAGAGCCTCCTCTCCTCTGATTGGCTCACTGACCTGTTGTTACTAGAGCTCCAGAGAGAAGCCTGAGAGAGGAGATGTAAAACTACACTGAGATGGTATTTTTTCTTAAAACTACAAATATATCTTCTTATGGATCAACACTTCAGATAAAACACAGAAGAGGAAAATATGGAGCTTTAACTGGAGACCCAAGTTGTAATAAACTAGAATTATCCTTTAACGGTTCACAGAAAAAAGAACAAATGAAGCAGAAGCTGCCCAGAGGATAAAATGACTCTGCATTGAACAATGTTTTGAATAGTGACTCTGCCCTCTTAGTGTTAACATGTTTGTAGCAGAACATGCCAGCATCTGTACAGGATATAGTTGTGTCGATGTAGGTGCTGGCAGCCAGTGATAATAGCAGCCACTCTCCTCCCACTAGCCCCTATCTCTCCTGAATCATCTCCTCTTGCTGCGTCTCCAGCGCCGAGCGTCCAGCATGCGCTCAGCTCTACCCGAGGGATGTCTGATAAAATGTCCTCAATCCCTTATCAGCCTCCTTCATCATTAACGCTAAAATATTCCCTCTTCCTTCCCTATAATATCTGAGTGTTCCAAACGGACTTTAAGTTACAACACAAGATGCTCTTGATCAGGGACATATGTCCTTTTTCAAGCTAAACTGTGCTCATTGTTCATGCTGTGGCCTGAACAGAAAGCTTCCTGTTTACTTATAACGAGACATAGAAATAACTATTTGTACTGGGTGTAATGTTGGTCAATGTGGTGCAGTTGGCATAGACTTTGGATAGTTTCTGGTGTGTGGCTAGTGTGTCTTTACTGTAGTGTTCTTTATCTATCACCCTGTGGATGTGAGGATGGTTGAAGATGGGTTTACTGGTATCCAACCAACATATTTGCAGAGCTTCTCCAATCATCCTTATTGGTTACAACAGCACTGTATTCACCAAAGTCATTTTTGAAATCTATGTGCACAGCAACATGGCTACAGCAAAGTCAGACAGGGCAAGATACAGCAGTCAGATAATCAGACAGGCTGTAAACAAACCATCTAAACCAGTTTATATGGAAGTAAAACTATAGACTGTAAATGAAGATCGCCTCCGTGACATCACCCACTGCTCTACCGTTGCCATCTTGGCAGTGCCTGACTCCGCTTATCTCCCAGCTAATCCAAAAATAGGCAAAGAGGTTGGGCGTGTGTGGAGCTGAGGCCTCGGTGCATATGCTCCCATTAGCATTGTTAGTTGAAACTTATGTGAGATAGCATCATAACTTCAGTGACTGTTGGATAAAGCAATTGAAACAATGACCTAGATTGTAGAAAAACTAACAAAAAAAGACAAAAACACACACACACAAAATGTGTGATGCAAGAGATATTTTGCAGTTCAGATCATTTTATAGGAGATAAAATCAAGATGAAAAATGTTAAAAGGAAGAGTTCAACATTTTGGGAATTATTTCTTTTTTCACTGTGCATCAGATGAGAAGATTGAACTCACACTCTTTTCTGTAAATAATGAAGTTGGAACAAGGACACCATTAGCTTACCTTGGCCATGACTTCTTAGAGATGTTACATGTTTGCCTGGTAACCTCGGGGAGGCAATAAGATGTGTCATTTTTACACATTGGTTTTTGAACAGATTGAACAAACAAGATGTCACTTGTCTGTTAGCTCAGTGGCACTCGGAGGCAGGTTTTGGACAGAGCCACGTCCTTTAGTCATGTAATATATAGATATATTTCTGGGCCTGAAAAACCCATTTCATGTTACAAAATGTTAGAGAAGCCAAACAGCAGGTGAACTTCATTTTGTCTTTGTCTCTGGTCTGCAGAGTGAAGCACATCGTCCTGGTGGAGCCCTGGGGTTTTCCCGAGCGCCCGGACACAGTAGAGGCCGACCGTCCCATCCCGGTGTGGATCAAAGCCCTCGGGGCCATGTTCAGTCCTTTCAACCCGCTGGCTGGCCTCCGACTGGTCGGACCACTGGGTGAGAGTGGAGAGCAAAGACACAACCGGATTTTTATCAATTAGAGCAGATGAAATCTTAATATTCCCAGAGGGGAAATAGTTTCAGTGGCACGGAACATCCAGAGAAGTGGAATAAACAGAAGTATCAGCCATAATGGGACTGACTGTTAAAATGAGGAGTGTGGAAATTAGAGTGCAGGATAAAATAATGACTCAATATTTGAGGCTTAGAGAGAGAAAATGTTTGACAAATAACAAAATATATCAAGCACAAAACTGAGAACCACTGTTATACCCAACACCATAATGAGCTCATTTTCACTCAAAGTGGGGTCCAGGGACCCCCAGACGTTCTTGAGGAGGTTCCTGGGTTTCCTAGGAAATCTGAGTATTATTTATTTACACTATAATTCCATCCATAAATGATAGCTGTTTCCCAATTCAGAGGCTGCATCCTCAGTGGACGCGGTCTACCAAGGTGTGGCCTTTCATAGACCATGAAGGCCGAACTGAAATGAGACGGTTTGGTCTATAGAGGATTTTTGCTTTGTGTCACCGGCTGTCCCCGCCCTTACTGTTGCATTGCAAAGCATGGCTCCTGTCGCCTAGCAACCTTGAAAAAAAATATTTTTCTCAAAAACTTGAGGTTTAAAGGCCCTTGGTTTTAACAGTTCCACTGTAAACTGTTGACCTGAGCTGAAACCCAATACTTACATTTAACAGTCTAATCCTCAGGCTCTCTGTCACTGTTGTTTTTCTGCCACATTATTTTCATTACTGGCACACAATGAATCTTGGGATAGGTTGGGCCATGAAGGATCCAGCTGTTGGAGCCTTCCTTACCCAGCAAAAGATGGACACATTTTTAATGAGCATTTGAAATGGGACAGTCTAGTTGCGCTGCTCTAATGCAGGCAGTCTTCAAATGCAGCCTATGACGGATGCAGCCCCTGAATTAAGAGACAGCTATTGACAGAATGTATGACTATGTTGGCCGTGGGTTTCAAACACTTTCTGTAATCAAACATCTAAATGAAAAAAGCCTGACCAGATGTGGGACCCTGGGACAAAAGATGGGGGTCCGTGGTCTTACTTGCGTTAGTTTTGGGTCCTTGATGTGAACCACTGGGCTTATATATACTGATTATACAACAGTTAGTTCCGACCCAGTAGTTTGATTGGATGAGAGTACAACAGCACTGGGACGTTATCTGTCTTCGATTGTAACAAACTTTGGGAAGATGAAAATATTTCCAGAAATATCATTTGAATTAAATGATGTCTGGTCGTCAGAAGAAGATGAAGGGAAGAAGCCTGGATACTTCAGTGCACACCTGAGGTAACATGTAGACGAAGTAGCAAGCTGCCTCATACCTATGACCGAATCACAGCCGTGCTGATATTCAGTACATCACTCCCTCTCATGTGATATTGCTTAAATTAAATATGACTGGGCTGCTAATTCAAACATGATCTTCTGAAGCTGATTTTGGTCCAGACGACAAATGAAGTCTGGTTCCTGTGTGTGTGCGCTCTCACCCGCCTTGTTCATAATCATGTAACATAATGAAGCGGCCTCGTCATGCTTGGCTTTGACATGTCGGCGTCTGCTTGTCTGGCCCCTGCAGGTCCCACTCTAGTCCAGACTCTGAGACCTGACTTCAAGAGGAAGTTCTCCTCCATGTTCAGTGACAACACGGTGTCAGAGTACATCTACCACCTGAACGCACAAACCCCAAGGTCTTCCTCCATCTCTGTTCCCCTGTCAGGCCTCATTATTGCTGCTCATGTTAATAACTGCAATGAAGACAATTTATTCATTACCTTAGTTACTACCTAGTATCATGTCTTGACATCAGCTGTCCGGTTGTGATGATTGTTCTCATGTGTTGTCACAGTGGAGAAACAGCTTTTAAGAACATGACCATTCCCTATGGCTATGCCAAGAGGCCAATGCTGCAGAGGATGGAGCAGCTGCAGCCTCATATCCCCATCACCATCGTCTACGGCTCCCGCTCCAGCATAGACAGCAACTCCAGCAGCACCATCAAAGAGATGAGACCACACTCTCGTGTGGAGATCATAGTAAGTTCATGGTGTCCGGGATGAGAGAAAATACTTTATTCTGTACGTTATTATGAAGTTTTCCTACATGTCTCCTGTTTAGAGTTGATGTTGGGTTTCCAAAATTTTGTAACTTTAACTCAACAATTTGCAGTCCAACAGAAGTATTTTTATTTTCAAGAGTTGGGTGAGCAATGCCAAAAAAAAAAAACAAAGAAAACATTTGGAGTTTTACCTCTAACTTCCTCTAACAGAAAAACAAAAATAAAATACATGACTCTCACCTGCCTCCCTAACGGAAAAAGAGAAAAGAATTCACAAAAAAAAAGGCCTCTCACCCCTACAGATACCACAACTGCTTTTTAGAAGGTTCTCAGAACTGCACGGTCGGGTTGTGAGCCGGGGGAAGAGGCGAAGCAAAGCCGGGCGCCATCAGCTCACAAAAACATGTTTTTGGTCATAACTCACAAATTCACACATTAATTATGACACAGTTTAACTCAAATGTCTGTAAGGATAAAATGAAGAGATCACATTTTATATCCAAAAGGTCAAAGGTCAACTTCAATGTGACATCATATATAACGAAAGCTTTTTTGTAGGTCTTCGCAGTGGACGTGTGCCTACCACATCTCGTACATGTAGGTGAAACATAGGGCTTGTTGAACTTGTCTAGGGAGCGCTATTGAACAAAAACATCAACATTTTCACCAGGCCTGACGTGTGTGCAGTAAACAACAGTTTCAATAGGGTTCTCCCACCGTTCAGTGCTTGGGCCCTCATAAACAAACAGCAGCAGTCATGTTGTTCGCCACCCACATTGTTTATCTGATATTTGCATTGATTTGTGAATGATAACTGTGTTTTTAATTTTAAAACTGAACATTCCTTTCCATCATTGTTTTATTGAATCAATAAACCTAAGCCGCCATGTTTTTAATCACCTGCCTCTCTTACTGTCCTCACTCCCGCAGACGATCCACGGAGCCGGACACTACGTGTACGCCGACCAGCCAGACGACTTCAACAAGCGAGTTCTGCAGGTGTGTGTTAAAGTGGCCTGAGGAGGAGACGAGCTGGAGGGCCGGGGGGGACCTGTGGAACCGGACTCTGGAGAAAAAGGGGAGCATCACTTCAGCAGCTGCTGCAGAACCACAGGATCAGGATCTCACGTTCTCGAGGCAGGAACCAGGAGTTTGTACATAATAAATATTCTAACAGGAGCAGAGCTGAGTTCGATTCATGACACGCTGATGTTCACATGTCGCATTAACGGAGCAGTGATTCAGTCGCGTTCTCAGAAACTCTGTGAATACAGGCTTTATATCAATCACCAAGTCCCCTACTTCATGCTATTTAACAGCATTCACACGCAGATGAGACCGGCCTGAATCACATTTTTGTTTTATTTCTTTATTTTTTAATTACACACACACACACACACACACACACACAGAGGAGGGTGGCGCTGCAGCCTCTTGGTTTATAATTTGAGCATTAGTTCTACAGTGTTTTCTCAGAATTGCCTTTTCCCAGTGTAGCCGAGAAACCAGGAAATGAGGCATTTTGAATTTCATCGATTCAATGACATTCTGCTGAGCACATGAGCAACCACAGAGCCTCAGTGTTCATCACATCACTGTCCATACGTTGCCTTAAGCTGCCCGCACTGTCTGACCCAAATATGTAAAAAAAATACCTTCTAAAAAGTATTTTTTAATAACGTGAAGATATTTCAAAGGTGAATCGATATCATATTCTTGGTGTTTGTATATGTTTGGTAAATATGCATTTAACAACAGTTTAATTTTATAATTTTATATACAATAGGAATATGATGAATATAGTCAGATAAATGATATCAGAGTGAAACAGAATCAGGAAGCTCAGTTACAGTGTCGTGTGTCAGGTTTTTTCTGTGCAGAGCTTCACCTGTGGTTTGTGGTTTTTCCGTATGATCCTGACACAGACAGGAAGTTTATACACTCTTCAGTATACAGCACCAGCACCAGTAGTATCAGCACCAGGAAGCAGCTATAAATGCATCTGCTGCCCATATTGATCTGCTCTGCTCTGTAGCAGCTGTGCTCTCTGATTGTTTGTGTTGTTAATGTTTCTGAATAAACCAGATCAGCTTTGGTCCAGAGCAGGAATAAACTGGAATCTACGAGACATGTGGCTTTTATATGGAGTATGTTTGTGTGTCAGTGTGTCAGCACAGAGGTGATTCAAACTGTTATTGTCACAATGAGCTGCCTCAAGAGATTTGACTTTGTTTATTTATGTGTCGATTTTGAGTCTCAGATGAAGATTAAGTTCAAACTTTATCATTGAAAATCATTTTGGAAAAAATGGTGAATTGAAGTTTCTTATTGTTAAACTGAACTGGAACTCTAAATGACTTTGTTGGTGTGAAGCCACTTTTCTGTCTTTCTCCCAGGTTAATGTGGACTGAACATGTTCACTGTCAGTGATGCAGATGTCTGTCTGTACAGATGTTATCAGCTGGATGTGGTGTAATACTCACACTCACACAGATATCATATGTCACTGGTTTCTGAATCATTAAGGTTTAAAGGGTCTAAGTTCAGACACACAATGTTCAGATACATGATATCTCTTTTTAGCTGGAATCTCTCATCACAGCTTCAATATCTAACCCTCCATATCAAAAAAAAAATAACAGTATATCTATATTTTTTGTTTATAGTCAATATTCTCCTACAAACATCTTTGAATTTAATGCCATTCAAATATTTGCCAGTAAAGAACAGCACTCTTTAATATCTACAATATTTACCACAGCATGTGAGGTCTATCGTGAAATTGGCAATAATATATTGACAATCCTACAGTGTACACAGTAATTCTAATTATTTGACAGACTGTTTTGAATATTAAAGCAGAAAACCTGCGTATGTCAACCAGGTGACATTTTTGCATACTGCTTTTTGTTAAAGTCCCATATAAACAGAACTACTAGACAAATGGAGTAAACAACACTACAAACTGCTGAGCAAGTATATTTGTGTAACTAGAACTAGTTCCGGTTTCACTTTGTCTCTCTCTGAAGTCTGAATCAATGAGCCCTGATGATGTGGAGGCCTGTGCACCACAAATTACTAACAGAAGCAAACTGGGGGTGTGGAGGTGACCAAGCATGAAAAGGTTCATGGTTGGAAAGTGTAAGCTAAACCTTTATATAAATTTATAAATAAGTGTGTGTATGTATATATATATTATAATATCAATATATATAAGCATGTACTAATATATATAAGAATATATAATCAAATTCATATATATTATACTAATATATATATATATATAATAAATATCTTATTATAGATAATCAACATCTTCATTGATTATCCACACATTAACTGATTCTTATATATCTTGCTTTCTAATATATATTATATTTATATTATATATCTATATATCTATAATATCATTTAGTATATTAATATATAAATAATCATGATTTTATATTATATATATATATATATATACATATATATAATATATAAAATGATATAATGATTATAAATATATCATTTTATATATTATAAATATCTCTTCCTCTTCTGGGGCTAGTTTTGAAAGAAAGTATTGAGGCCTAGTGATTTCCTTACTGAAATGCTCTGATCTAATCTGTGTATAATATAAAAGGCAGAGTTTAAAGAGGCTGAGGGAAGAAAGTCAGCTTGATGCTTAACTGATTTAACTGAAGTCTTTCACAGCAGCATTAATGTTGGAGCTAATTTGACACAGGGAAATAGGACTTTGTGTTTAGTTTCATGAGCCAGTTGCTTCTCAGTGATTGTAAATATGAAAAAATCTTGTATTGCATAAATTATTTTGCTCCTAAAATTGTTGTGACAGCTCCCCTGATTCTATTTATTTTAAGTGTAAACACAAATAAAATGTTTGCTGTAGTATAACCACGGTCCACTCGCTGCTCTGTCCTCTGTCACACATGAATAATGTAGCTCAGACTCGCGCCTGCATCATATGTTTAATCTGCGATGCAACACTTTCATTCTGCTTCTCCCCCTCTTTTGCTTTTCATTTTAATGGAGAAAAAGTGACAGATGAATCAATATTTTTCCTCCAGCTCCCCTTATCATTTCAGAGCTGTCAGCCCTCTGCCAGAGAGAGGAATGATTCCTACGCGCCTGTGTTCAGTAAAGGGCCGATGTAGTTCCCCAACACCACCACCGGAGGGCACTCAAGTGTAGAAGAGGAGATGTGGAGCTTGTGGGAACATCCGCACTCCCCCCTTTTTTGCACTAATATCTACACTCACTTGCACCTTTGTTATTTCATTTTAAGACAGCAAACTGAAACCAACATATTATATGACACGGTTCCATTTTAGCAATTACCAAAGACATATATATATATATATATATATATATATATAGATACAGGAGAAGGATGCAGGCTCATGTGAAAGTATTTCTGAGCCACATGAAGCCAGTGGAGACAGTTTTGTCCCTCTCAGCTGTTTGGACATTGAGGTGAGTATAATGAAGTTTCCTCTATTGATGAGGAAACTGAAGGAATCTCATTCATTTCTTTAAGGTGCTCCATCAGGATTTGTAAAGGAATACTACATCATACAAAGTATATACTGCACACTGAAGAGTATTTATTTGGGGGCTTATACATGAAAATACATCACCGTCCACTGAGGCTGTGAAACCAGAGCCTTCCTTGGCGGTTTATCAATATCATTAGTTGCATTTCAAACAATTAACTTTAGATGGCACCTCAGGGTACACACTATAAAGCTACTGTAATGCCATCCTCCCTCTGACATGAGCCCATTAAACAGAAAATGGCAGGGTGGGGCCTCCACAGACATGTGAGCCACTCCACTGACTCAGAATCTCCCACTGATGAATCACAGGATTGATTACCGGAGTTTTTTCACTTATCCAGTCACAGTCAAATCAGATGGAAGGTGCATCATCGTCAGAACATCAGATCCAAACGAAGGCCACCGATGCTCTGAGTTGATGAGGGAGCAGGCATGAGGGCACAGAGAATATATTCTAATACTGGTGCCACTGGAGAGAGCAGAGCAATGCACTGCAGCTCCAGTCATTTACAAACTGTCTGTTTCGCTGTGTCATGCCTTGTAGCTCCTCCAGCAGATAGCTATCAAACAGCTTTTAAAAATGCAGATCTGAGCCACAGTCTGCCCCAGCTCTGCTGTGACTCACTGCAACTGTGCAGGTTCGATGCTCCAATGAGCCCCCAGGACAGCGCTGATAGCAACATGCATGCAGCCTGATTCTTTTTCTTTCTCAGCTACTTACACACTGTTCAAAACTCAGCCACAATAAATATGTCTGATTAAAAACTAAAAGTGAAAAAATCCATCAAGTACTTTTTGTGTTATTGAGTCATGTTTCTGTATGAATATGTTATTTGTTTTCATTACAAATAATCATGTGTCAAGTATTTTCTGTATTTTCAAGCAACACAGAATAAGGCACACAGCTGCAACACAATACATGAATATGGTCCTTGATTCCAGAAAAAGTAGATTTGTCCTGGAAACAGGTTAAAATGATCTTGCTGCACTGGTATAATTCAGTATAATTGACAAAAATGACATGAAATGTGTGATTTTTGTAGTGTATGGACAGAGATACTAATGCCATCTTACTGGACTGCTGTGAACAGATGAGTTTAACTGACAGTTTTTCAACCAACAATTAGGGCTCTGCAAAGCATGTGGTTATGGTACATACATGTATAATGTGTATGACTCTGTTGCCACTTTGTCACCTAAAAAGTTTTCATTGAGTGAAAGGATTTCAATAATGTTTCCTTTTATGTAGTCTATTGTCTTTTTACATCTATTTTTAGAGAGCTGTACTCCGAGCTCCCTCCAGATGTCTGAGCTCCTCAGCCTTTTTGTAAGGGTGAGCCCAGCCCCCTTATGGAAGACTAATATCAGCCGCTTATATTTGCGATCTCATTCTTCTGGTAAACCAACAGTTTTGCTTTCTGGCTCAGTTCCCTCTTCACCACAATGGTCCAATACCACACCCACATTACTGTCAATCTCACACTCCATTTTACCTCCACTTGTGAATGAGATCCCAAGATTCTTAAACTCCCAGCAACTCACTCTCAACCCGAAGGGAGCAATTCATCCTCAATGAACAGAAGAGATGACTTGTAGCAGCGTCCCTGGCACCCTATACTCCCACAGTGCCCGCCACAAAACCTCCTGTGGGATATGGTCATAAGCTTCTCCAAGTCCACAAAATACATGTAGACTGGATGGACAAACTCCCATGACCCCTCCAGTAACAAGAGTTTGTTCACTGTTCGACACCCAGGTCGGAATCTGCATTGCCGTTCCTGGATCTGAGTTCCGAGAATCGTCCGTAGCCTCCTCTCCAGCACCCTGGCATAAGCTTTCCCGGACAGGTGAGCAGTGTGCTTAAGTGATAACTAAAGCGCACCCTCTGCTCCCGCATTTAGAATATGGGAACCACCACCTCAGTCTGCCAGTCCACAGGAACTGTTCCAGACCTCTGTGCAACACTGAAAAGGCGTGTCAGCCAAGGAAGCCCAACAATGTCCTGAGATTTCAGCATCTTGGCACTCCTCATCCACACTTGGTACCTTGCTTCTGAGGAGCTTCTTGACTAACTCAGAGACCTCTGTCAGAGATATGAGTGATGCTTTACCCGAGTCTTCAAACTCTACATATTGATTAGAGGACATGTTGGTCGCGTTTAGGAGTTCCTGAAAGTGTTCCTTTAATTGCCTGACAATATCCCCACTCAAAGTCAGCAGTTCTTCTTCACTGCTGAACACAGCTTGGGCCAAAGTATAGCTTTCCCTTCCCGATGATTTGCCAGAACTTCATAGCTTCCCCAAACTCCTCCCACACCTACGTTTTTGCATCTGTGACCACTGCAGCCACAGCCCCTGTTGGTACCCATCTGCTGCTTTAGGAGAACCCTGAGAACTGACCATAAAGGTCTCCTTCCCCACCTTGACACCCTCCTTCAACATTGTCAACCCACGGCTTCTCAGGTTGCTGCTACAACAGGCACTTACAACCTTCTGACGACAACTCTGCAGTCACCTCCACAATAGAGGCTTTAATCACGGCCCACTCGGATTTCATTTCCCTGACCTCCCCTGGGATTCATGAGACATCCTTGCTGACAGGGGTCACTACACATTTGAGTCTACCAGGTCTGTAGCCTCCCCAAACAGCTGATCTAACTAGCAACTACTACACTTGAATTTAAGTTTGCACTCGTTGAAAATTGGGGCACCACCTTCAATTGAGGGAAAATAGACAAACCAAATGATCTGAACTTTCTGAACTCTCAATACAAAGATTTCCCTCTGTTTGGAAGGAATACACAAGATCATGACTTGGTGATAAAGAAGACTTTATTTATAGCTAAATGTGTAGAAGCAGCTGAATAAATGAGGCGTTAATTATGAACACATTACAGATGAGTAAAGTTTAACTTTGAATGACAAATGAACTGGTGACATAGTTTGGAATAATGAAATGACATGTGGTTCAAAGTTACCTGAGAACGACAGAATGCTAGAGGCATAATCTACTTATCTCGTGCTTAAAAATAAGACCTCAGAGCACAGTCCAACTTCAGTTATCACAGATAGCAGAACCCAACCCCGATTCCTATCCCTGCTGGTGGTGGGCCCACAGGATGGCAGCCCTATGTAATTCTTTTCGGGCTATGCCCAACCGGACACCATGGATCAAGGCACAGCCACCAGACTCCAAGAGGGGGCCACAGTTTCCCTGATGTGGGTTAGATGATGGTGATATGTGAATAATTTTATGAATGAGTTTGGCCCCTCCCCGAGATCAATTTTTCTTTGGAGAGGCTACCAGGGGCCAACCATGTTAAGGTGGCAATTCTTGGAGGTGCCCTTAGAAATAGTACAGTACAAATTAAATAAGCAGGACAAATGAGTAATTTTATTTTATAAAAGCGTAATGAATATACAATGATATGTTTTTTGAGCGTTTTTTTGGAGAGTGTGCATGTACACGCACATACAGGTATGTGTGGGTGAATTATATGGGTGTGTGGATGAATATTTTTGTTATGATTGTTGTGTGGTTGTGTACGTGTGTATGTGTGCGTGCTTGCGCGCAAGTGCTCATGCAAGGGAGTGTGTGTGAATATACT